CATTCTAATATTCAAGTGTATGGATTCAAAAATTTGTAATAAAATTATCATTTTTTATGCAATCCCAAAATTTGTTCATAAGGATTCATTTTTAATTTTGCCGATCAATTTGCGTAAATTACTGTTAAAAAAAAACTATGGCAATGTTTAAAAAACGTTGTTGTAGGGGGTCTACGGCAACGTTTAAAAAACGTTGCAATAGGGGTCTGCAGAAACGTTTAAAAAAGTTACCGTAGGGGTCTTACTCTACGGCAACACCTTGATTTGCAACACACGTCCAAACGTTGCAAAAGGTCTACGGCAACGTTCAAACATAGGCTGTTTTTGTTGTAGTGAAGGATGACTCTCTGCTGCTTAAAAAGCTACTCGATATTAACGACAAGTTGGGACAACCTGCTCAGATCAGTCAGGTAGATGCACAGAGATAACATGCTACCAATGTTCAGGCAAAGCTGTACAGGGACAAATTGAACAAGCAATTCAGGCAGCCCGAGTTCCTATAACCAGACTCACGGCCTGGGCTGATGGGGAGGTTTTTTACACAGGTAAGGCATATGACTTTTTCGGCCTAAAAAGACATCCAAGGCATGTGTAGCCGATGTTTGGAAACCTTGCATTACACCAAAACACACTTTTATGCTTTAGTTAAGTGCTCAAGCCAAACTACTCACTAAGGACAGATTCCAACACTTGGACATTGATTGGAATTGTGTTCTTTGCTGACATATAGTGGAGACAGGCCAGTACCTATTCTTTCTATGTCCATTCACCTCGTTGATATGGGGACGGATTCGACAATGGATTGGTTTGAGGCAGTCTATGTCTACAATATCTAGTGCATTGAAGTGGATTAAAAATGAGGGTCGTGGGGCATCTTGGCAAAGCAAAACTAAGAAGATTGCACTTGCTTGCACCATTTAACACATTTGGACGGCGAGAAATAGAAATTTTAGAGAATCTAAGACCACATGTGGATAATATTGTTAGATGAATCAAAACACATGTTGTTAGAAAAATACGGGTCGTGAGTCGCCCATGTGGGATGACCCGACCCACAAGTTACTAAAAAGGTTGGAGGGAATTTGAACTTGAAATTCAAACATACAACTCTCCAACCACCCTTAACTCCCTATAACTTCCAATGATTATGCATGGGAAATAGAAGGAAAAAAATGCATGAAAAATGTAGGGAAAATTCGTATGGAAATTTACACCAAAATTGAAAAGTCCTTAGAATCATATTTTGGACATGAAATCTCACAAAAATTGACACTTAGATTGTGGATAACAATTCCTTTCCATTGTGATCGGGATTGGGACAATTAGAGAACAAGAAATGCAGATTTTGGAGCTTTGGAATGCAATGTGATTCAACCATCAAAAGATCTTGGAATTCATCATTTCAAGTAAATATTTTGACCTGAATTTCATGTTAAAGAATGCTGCGAATTCTTACATTAGTATTAGAGCCGTAAAAGTTATTTCCCTTGCATACTATCTTG